TGCTGGGATGGGTGCTGTGGGTGGTGATGCTGCCGTGTCCGTCGGTGGTGGTGTGAGGCTGCTGCGGTGAGCTGACATCACCGGGCTGGGTGGGAAAGCGCTTCCCTGAGCTTATAGAGCTGTAAGGTTGTAGGATAATAGTGTCCCAAGTGGGGACAGACCCCCATGGAGCTGCAGAAAGCCCACGCTGTCTCCATCCCAAAGCACAGCCCTCCTCTTGGCTGTGGCTCTGAGGTGTGGGGCGATGCCATCCTGCATTTCTCCCCATACCATTGCAGGGCTGAGCGCACCGTGGCTCCCGTGGGGCGATGGTAATAATTAACAGAATGGCCCACAGCCGTGCCGTGCCCACGAATGCCTGGGAGTTACAGGAGGAGAAAGATGGGACTCTGAGATAAATGCTGGGGGACCATTCCAGGTCCTGAAGAGCAATGTCAGAGTTGATGTGTGGTCTTGGGTTGGTGCGCTGCTTTTGGAGGCCATCCCTTTGCAACCCCTGCGTGTCCCTAAAAAGAACTGCTGAGTTTTGGGGTGTTGTTAAAAGAAAAAGGTGCAGAGTGGCTGGGGCTTTGTAGTGCCACGACAAGGATTGGTGTGCTGGAGCCCAGTGGGTGTAGCATCTTCTGTGCTGTGGGGTTTGCAACCACAGCGCTGTCCTTGGAGCTGCTGGGGACGTGTGGGCACATCTGGTTTGGTCACAGCCTCAGCTCCCAGCACGGCCTTGTTACCAAAGCTGGGACAAAGCCCCATGGCGGAGTGGGATCTCTCAGTGTGTGTGGCAGTGCTTTAGGGCCGTGGTTTGGTGAGCATGGTGGTGTTGGGTCATGGTTGGACGTGATGATCGTAGTGGTCTTTTCCGACTTCAATAGAATCATAGAGTGGCTTGAATTGAGAGGGACCTCAAAGATATCCAGTGACTTTATGATTCCATGTGCGATTGCTGTCGCTGCCTGGATGGCGTTTGGTGCTGGAGAGCATTGTGTGTGTGTTCAGAGCAGCTGCCAAGGGCTGAGAATGGGATGGAGGAGCCACCAGGAGATGGTGCCCATCTGGTACCAGGACAGCTGGGAGCCCACAGGGCAGCGCAGACATTCGGCACCACGGTGGTTAACGTCGGTTTGGGAAGGAACAAAACCCATGTTTGGGGTTTACATGTATGGCTCCCAGGACAGGTTACTGCCCTTACCAGTGCGGCTCTGGGGACTGCAGTCCCATCGGGGTGGGCTGCTCAGAGCTGAGCTGTGCTTGGAGGATGCTGCACTCCTCACACTCAGCTTCCATTCCCAAAAACTCAGCCATGCGTCCTCATTGCTTTCTGCCTCACTTTCTCTCATTTTGGGCTCTCAGGGGGGCTGAGAGCTTCACTTGAAGTTTGTCAAGCACTCCGCCGTGGTTAAATTAAAGTGGGCCATGCCTCAAAACGAATGGTTGGGGGTCAGAGCTCAGTGGAACAAGCAGCCGTGGGCTGTGTGCTGCTCACTGCACTGCACACCAAAAGGGTTTTGCTGCCTTTGGAAAGGCAGAAGGAGGGCCTTGGCCTCACTGTGCTGCGAGGCAGAGGGAGAGCATCGCCTGTGGATGGTGCCCTGCGACGGGGAGACACAGTCCGTGTTGACAGCAGTGCTGGGACATGAATGCTCCCTCCTGCACAGCGCTGGTTGGCAACAGCGGCCGTGCAGCGGCGCCTGGTGGCACACAGGGTCTGTCTGTCCTGCAGGGCCGGAGCTATGGGCAGCAGCGGGCACTGATAGCATCCTGCATCCTTACACAGCATCTCGTGTCCCTACACAGCATCCTGCATCCCTGTGTAGCATCCTGTGCTCATACACAGCATCCTGCATCACTACACAGCACCTTATGTTCCTACACAGCATCCTGCATCCCTGTGTAGCATCCTGTGCCTGTACACAGCATCCTGCATCACTACACAGCATCTCAACGTCCCCACACAGCATTCTGCATCCTTACAGAGCATCTCACGTCCTTACACATCCTGCATCCCTGTGTGGCATCCTGTGTCCTTGTATAGTATCCCACATCCCCATGCAGCATCCTGTGTCTTTTGTATAGCATCCTGCATCCCTACAGAGCATCCCATGTCCGTACAGCATCCTGCATATGTGCACAACATCCCGCATCCCTGCACAGCATCCCACATCTGTGCACATCATATTACGTCCCTACACAGCATCCTGCATCCCTGTATGATCTCCTGAGTCCTTGTATAGTATCCTCCATCCCGACACGGCATCCTGCATTCCCACACAGCATCTTGTGTCCATACACAGCATCCTGCCAGCAGTGTTGTGCTCCTCTCGGTGTCTGCGTGCCTCTCTCACCCCACATGGAGCTCTCTGTGCCCTGGCTGCTGTCTGGGATGGCAGTGGGTTGAGGCAGATGAGGAGTGACCGGGTCTGAGGATGGGGGTGCTGCTCCTCTCCGGCTCCTTGGGAAACGTTTGACTGCTGTCACAGTAAAATAGGTTTCCTTACATCTGAATACGGTGAATTCATAATCTCCATCTGCTTCCTGATTATCTGCAGTGCAACCTCAGTGCCTCTCAGAGCTTTCCCTCGGGCTTTGCACACACCGACCTACAAATGCAATGGGTTAAACCCCAAATGCTCCTTTTTAATTCCATCTTTGGGTGCAGGGAGATGAAGGGTTGCCCTGCTGCACTCTGAACAGAACCACGGCCAAGACCTGGCAGTGCCACCTCAGCATGGGGACACACGGCTCTGGGCTGGGTGTGTGGGGACAGCTCTGTGTGACCCCTCCACGGCCACTGGGGCCGTTGTGCCCATGGTGCCGAGCGCCAGGGTGATGGGCAAGGAGGGGATATTTTAATTTATTCTTTTATTTTTTGGTGCCTGTGTGTTGGGCACCGGTGTGATGGGTGCCAGCGTGATGGACACCACTGTGATGGGCACCGGGGTAATGGTAACCAGGGTGCCACTGTGATGGGCAACAGTGTGATGGGTAACAGTGTGATGGGCACCAGGGTAATGGGTACCAGGGTGGTGGCTGAAACTGTGATGGGTACCAGTGTGTTGGTGACAGGATGATGGGCACCAGAGCGATGAGTGCCAGGGTGATCGGCACCCTCCAAACCCCAGGTCCTGCCATCAGAATGGGAAAGTGAAGAAGGGCAGGGCGACCATGGCGCACTCCTGGTGTGACTTTTTTTTGGGGGGGGTCACTTTTAGAGGAAAACGGGATTTTTTTTCTCTGCTCCTCCTCCCCAAGGTGAAAGTGTGGTTCCAGAACCGGCGGACGAAATACAAACGGCAAAAGCTGGAGGAGGAAGGGCCGGATTCGGAGCAGAAGAAGAAAGGTTCCCATCACATCAACCGATGGCGCCTCGCCACCAAGCAGTCGAGCGGAGAAGACATCGACGTCACCTCCAACGACTAAGGCAGGGACAGGCTCCTGGTGCAGCCGCCATGCAGAGGAACCCGGGGGACGACGCGGGGACGCGCGCGGCATCACCCAACGAACTCTAAGGGACGTCACCGCCGCCGCCGCCGCCCCACCGGCACCCATCCGTCCCCCCCCCCCAGCCGCCCGGAGCCCGGTGCCCGGCGCAGCCCTCGGGGCGCGTTTTGGGGCTCTCCTGCTGAGCCCGGGAGGAAGAGGAGGCTGCCGGGACCCCTGGACACGACCGTGCAGCCTCCTCCGTGTGGGGACCGCCCGTCAGCCGTGAGATCGCATCCAACGTCCTGCCTTCGAGCTCAATGTTTCCAACCCTTTTATTTTCCTTTCCGCCCTCCCCCTCCTTTTCTTTTCCCCCCTCTCTCCTCCTCTTTTCTCTGTCTCTCTCTTTTTTTTTTTTTTTGGTTTTGGTTTTTTTTTAATTTTTTTTTTTTTTTTTTTTTTTTTTTTTTTGTGCCCGTGTGTGCGTGCGTTCCCCGTCCCGTAGGTAGTCCGCATCTGTAGTGTGTGTTACTGCGTGGTAATAAAAAGCAAGATGTGCTCTGAGTACGTCTGGTTATCCTTGGAGAGGTGAGGGGGGGGGGAGCCACCCCCATTGCCCACCCCAGAAATGTCCCATGAGGATGTGGCCACGGGGGCTGTGGTGCCATAGGATGGTGTCACCGTGGGCTTGGCTCGCATGGGACTGATGGATGCAGGAGAGCTCGTGCACCGTGGTGGCATCTCAGCAGAGTCCCCTCCTCCCAGGTTGGGTGTCAGGGAGGTGACACGGTGACAGAAAGCAGAAGGGGGGGTGACTGCAGGTATGACAGGTATGCGGTGCTCGGGGGCTGGTAGCTGTCACACCTGCGCTGGGTATTGGATGTCAAGGGAGGGGCGTCCCACAGTGACATTGGTGCGGTGAGAAACGGGGTGCTGGGGGCTGGAGAAGCTCCAGGAGCTGCTGGAGCCCCAGAATTTGGGTGGAGGGGACGAGGGTCCCACCTGCATCTCCCCAGGGAAGGAAATTTATAACCATCACATATATAGAATTATCATTACAGTTGGATGATAGGGTCATTAAGATTGGAAAGGACCTTTCGGATCACTGAATCCAACCATCAACCCATCGAGTCCAACCACCAACCCGCTGGGTTGATGTGTGCATATTACACACGTACAGATAGACAGGCACAGATGTAAGAATGAAATATACCCAAATCTAACAGTCAAACAGAGAGAGACATCATAATCCCTGCTGTTTGGAAAGGGGCTGCCCTCGCCTTACGTGCAAAGGGAAAAGCCACATCCCTGGAGCAGCTCCCCTCTGCAAACAGCACATAAAACATCCTGCCAATGAGACTTCCAAAGCCCCAAATCTGTGCTGACCCTTGCATCAGTGCGATTGGCCACGCTGAGCCCTGATTTGCCCAAAATTTGCTCCCAATTTCCCCACTACTCAGAGACCCAAATTTTGTTTCCATCTGCCCCGTGTCCACCCAGACCCAAATTTTACCGTCAGTCCCCAACCGGATCCAAATTTCGCTTCCACCCTTCACCCACCCCCAAATGCTGCCATAGCCAACAAAGTCTTTAAACGCTTTTATTCCAGACACGTCCAAGTGTTACACAAAGTGTTTGTGGTCGATCAATCGGTTGAGGAAGGTTAAAAAGAGACTTGTGTGCATTTGGGGGCCGTGCCGGGGGGTGAGGCTGGAAGACGTGGCCGGGACGAAGCCCTCGAGGCAGCTGTATGGAGCCACCAGGGTGTCACAAGGGGCTGAATCCCAGCAGGAATCAAGGAGCTGCCGGGGGCTGAGTGGGAACCCGGCGTAAACCTGAGGTCTGCGAGGGCGACGGCTCCGGATGCGTGGGGATGGAGAGAAATGCTGAGCATGGAGCAGAAAAGAATGGAGCCGTGCCTGAGATCGTGGAGGGAAAAGTGAGAAAGGAGGCAAAGCAGCTCAGAAATAATACAAAAAAAATAGCCAAAAAGCAGTTTTGGGTTGTGAGAGCACATGGATGTGAGAGCACATGGATATGAGAGCACACGGATGTGAGAGCACATGGATGTGAGAGCACATGGATATGAGAGCACACGGATGTGAGAGCACATGGATGTGAGAGCACTTGGATGTGAGAGCACATGGATGTGAGAGCAAACGGATGTGAGAGCACATGGAGGTGAGAGCACACGGATGTGAGAGCACATGGATGTGAGAGCACACGGATGTGAGAGCACATGGAGGTGAGAGCACATGGGACAAAGGCGTAGAATATTTGTATTGTAGAATCAGAGAATCACGGAATGGTTGGGTCGGAGGGGACCTCAGAGATCACAGAACCACAGGACAGTTTAGGTTGGAGGGATCTTAATGATCATCCAGTGCCAACCCCTGCCGTGGAGAGGGTTGCCCACTGTACCAAGGCTGCCCAGGGTAGAAGCAGGGCAGGGACCTATTGGGGCTGTCGTGCCACACATCGGCACCCACTGCCTCCATCCTGCAAGGGAAATCCAAAGGGATGTGGGTGGCAAGATCAGACCTGGTTACTTCCTAAAACTCGTTCTGTAGGAGGAAGGAACCAACCACTGAGCCGTGGGCTCGCTTCCCAAGCCCAGGGCCCACACTGCAAGGCCAGGGCCAGGGGTGACAGCCCATGGGGAGCAGCCCAAGGACATTTCTTCCAGGAGGGATTCAAACTTCTCGCCGGCACCTTTTGCTGCAACCTCATTATTTCTTCATTAACATATCCCAGAAATCAATTAGCTGCGACATTTCTAATTAAATACTACTGGAGATGATCATCTCATTATTATTATCTGCTGAGGTGAACAACTCGATGTGTGAGGTGGGTTTTTGCCTTCCCATTTCTTCCAGTTCCCCAATTATAGGAAATAATAAATGCAAATGGTTGGGTTGTTCTCGCAAACCCAAGGCTCCTTTTGTACATTAGGAGAGTCGAAGAGATTAATTAGCTATTAAGTGAATGTGTATAATGTTATCATTAGCTCTTTTTTGGCACAATTTGCCGTCCTAATAAACAGTACTAATGTGCTATCGCTTTTCCAGTGCCATGCTTTTCATTTCCCAGGCTGTACCAAGAGTTAAGCTCCACGCTGAGTCAACTTTCTGATCGGAGCCCAATTGCCAACCTTGAGCTCCTGGGCAAAGCACAAGAAGGGCAAGGACGTTTCCCAACAGTGACAGCAGTGATTTGGATGTGCCATGGTGAAACCATAGGCTTTGCAGGCTGCTGCCTCCCCAAAGGTCAGCTTGGTGTCTGCAGAACCGTTCTGCTGCTTTTGAGCGAGGGTCCCAATGTTGCAATGGCTGTGGGAGCTGCAGAAGCTTTGGTGGAGACCTCTGGACCTCGTGGTGGGGACATGGCCACACTGTGCTGCCCAAAGGGGACCACGCATCCATCAGAATGTGGTGAGCCTCCTCCTGCACGTGCCTTGTGCTGCTCCCACAGCAGGGGATGGACCAATGGACGACAAGGGGACAGGCAGTAGGGTTGGAGCCCAACTCCAAAGCTGGGTTTCAGCTCTGCTGCCCATATATATATATATATAAAAGTATAAAAAAATATTACATATATGCAATGCACCGATAGTCAGCACGATGTTGTGGGAGATGTAGAGCCAACCCTCTTCTCTCCAGCCCCATAGCACGCCCCACAAGCACTGCTGACACACGTGGTAGGTACTCTGCAATGCAACGGCCATGGAGGATTTTGGAGATGTTTAGGAACTGTGCAAGAAGAGCCCCTTTGCTTTCCAAATGCCAGGCTGAGCTGGAAGAACCAAGTGCTTGGGAAAGGCTGGGTCAGGAGGCAGAAGAGTCTTCCTCAGCAGAAGCTATCCATCCCATCTTCTGATACATGAAATAAGACAAGTTTGATGGGATTTGTAGAGGACATGACAAACCCGGGCTCATTTAGACTGATTGTCACTTGTTGGGCTGCACAGCTGGGTTTGACCCGAGCCGTAATCCCCAAGTGCTGCTCTTCTGACATCCCTGAGCCCACTCCTTGCCCACAGAGCAGGATCTCTCTCTCCCATTTCATAGGGCAGCATGTATTAGGAACCCTGCAGCCTGCTCTCCTCCAAGCAGCGCCGCTGGCACTGCATGCTGCCTGCTCACCCCCCGCCGCACATCACTCGCTCCATCTGCAGACCCTGCAGGTAGCTGGAGCTCACTAGCTTTGATCAGTAATTACGATGCAAGACCAAATCCTTGCACAAACCATCCCACTACAAAGCCTCGGTCACTCCCCTCCCTGAAGAAGAAAAAGACTGAGATCAATGAGTTTTGCAGCATTGCAGCAGAACGGCTGCGGCAGCTGCAAAACCCACCTTGGAGGCTTCTGGTCCACTCAGCTTTGGGCTCAGTTACACCACCAGAGCCAGCACGTATTGAAGCATGCATTAAGCACGTGCTGACTGTACATTCAGCTGATCTAGTGCATTAGAAGGACTCTGCTGGGTCAAATCCAGCTGTCCCTTATGCAGGTGGAAATGCAGAACTGCTCCATGAGCTCAGCATTCCCACCGGCGCCAGGGACCAGGAGGTGTCCTATCAGTAGAAAGGATGGGGAGAGCACTGCTGGCCTCTTCTCCCCTTCAAGCTGGTATGGATGTCCACAAAACTCTCATTTTAGACGTGCAATTATTCGATCCACACCAGCGTGGGGACAGAATCTGCTGTGCAGCTCCCACTCCCATACATTGCAACGCATCCTTCAGTATACATTCTCTGTCAGTGTACATTTGGTTTCCCCTGCTCCCCCCGCCCTCCCCCAGCCCCAACGAGTTGGCATTGGCACGACGGCAACCATTGCATTTGGCCGTGCTCATCACCACCACGCCTCGAGCCCCGTCATGATCTCAGTGGCCACATTCCAACCCTGCTCTTTATACTTTTGGGTAAAAGATACCAGAAAGCCAAATTACGGCCCCAAACTCAAGCAGGAGGAGGTTTGTGGGGTCAAGGAACCACACACCTAGGTGGGATGTGGCTCCTGTACCCAGCAGTGCCCCGTCACTGCATCCAAACAAAGGACAGGTGGACTCAAAGTGGAGCAGCTTCACTTAATCCCTCATGGAACCCTACCCAGGTAGCTCAGACTGCCTTATACACAGAGAGGACAAACCCCACCTGTTTTGCACAAAGATCCCATCCCATGCAGGGCACGTTGGCTTTCCAGGACTTTGAACCCCTTGCTGATGTGCTGGGTGGCAGCTGGGGCAGTGCTGACATGGAATCGATACAAGACACTTATCAAACACCCTGTCAAGAGCTTCAAAGCCACGCACCCGTCGGTCTGTGCAGAATGACTTTTGTGCAGTGTCAGTGCTGTGATTTAATTTGCATCGAAAACAAAATTTGCTGGGTGAAACCTACTGCTGTGTAGTTAGGTACAGCCATGTAACCATCCCGTAAACTTCCCTCCATGCAGTGCTAGAAGTTTAGAGATCATTCCTCTGCTAGTCGTCTAAAGTGTGTTTGAATGTAGTTTCTGGCTGATGCTAAGTTAAGACTTTTAATGTTAGTTCTGTCGAGTGGTGTGAGAGGTGTCAGTTCTCCAGCAGTGTTACCCCACTCCCGCTCTCTGGGAGCAGCAGGACTATGGCTGAGCTCTAGGATTTGTGTCGTCTCGCTGCTGCATTCTCTCCCAGTCGACATCTCACGTTTCCCCCTCTCCCTGCCCAGATCTTCTGGGTGGAGGGGTCTGCAGCTCCCACTTACAACCCCTTGTTGTAGATGACGGTCTTGCTGGGGGTGGCCATTGCGATCTCCGGCTCCAGGCGAGACGTCTCGATCTGTGGAAGCAGAGGCAAAGTCAGGGTCAGCAGCGTGGAGATGGATAGAGCCATACACTGATCACAGAAATGTTTGGAAGGGACCCTTCAAAGCCATCAGGTCCCATTCCCTGCAATGAACAGGGACGCCCACGGCTTCATCGGGTGCTCAGAACCAGCCTGACCTTGGATGTCTCAGGGGATGGGACACCACCGCCTCTCTGGGCAACCTCTGCCAGTGCCTCACCACCTTTACTGTAAACAACTTATTCCTTAAACCCAGTCTAAATTTCCCCTCTGTTAGTTTGAAACCATTTCCCCATTGTCCTCTCTCAATACACTCTATTAAAGAGTCCCTCCCCTTCTTTAGCAGGGTCTTTAACGTGCTTTACTCTGACTGAGCCTCAAACCACCCTTGTTCAAATGGACTTACATTGCACAAAAATGATGCCACTCTCTGCCCAGCAACCTTTGAGGGATTACAGAATGTACAGGAGCACCACACAGATCCCACCCACCATTTTCCAGGAGAAATCCCTTCATTTTCCAAAGTCAGGGCTCTCGGTACTTTTCCCAGCAAGAAGAGTCACAGCTGAACTCCGGGTGGTTTGATGTCACCAGTGTGAGACCAATTCCCACAGCCTGGAGGTGTTCAAGCATAGAATCACAGAATCACAGAATGGCCTGGCTTGAAAAGGACCACAATGATCATCCAGTTCCACCCCCCTGCTATGTGCAGGGTCAACAACCAGCAGACCAGGCTGCCCAGAGCCACATCCAGCCTGGCCTTGAATGCCTGCAGGGATGGGGCATCCACAGCCTCCTTGGGCAACCTGTAACAGTGCCTCACCACCCTGTGTGTGAAAAACTTCCTCCTCATATCCAACCTAAACCTCCCCTGTCTCAGCTTAAAACCATTCCCCCTTGTCCTATCAAGGCCCATGGTTCTGAGGTATATTGTGGGGATGGGTTGGGCTTGATGACCTGAGAGGTCTTCCCCAACCTTAATGATGCCATGATTCTAGCATCTGTCTTCCCATCACTACCATTTGTGCAGCCTGGACCTCACACTCAGCATCGCCAGGCAGTGCTCTGATGCACAACAGGGAAACACAGCGTGTCGTCCCTGCTCCTTCCCCCACCTCCAGGAAACTCCCATCCCCTCGCTACGCTTTCCCAGCTGGATTGCCAGGATGCTCTTCATCACGTCCCCAGGAGGAGCTGGGTGTCCCCATGCCCAAATGGGACGGGGAGCCTCACGCCGTTCGACTTTGGGGAATCCCATCCATCCCATGGTGTCGGAATGGGTGCTGCTGCTGACACAATGCGAGGGAGCCCACGTTAAAAATCGAAATGCTTTTGAAAATGTTTAACCTAGTTAGACAAATTAGCAAAAATTTGTGCAAAACAATTTAGGTATTTAAAATATTCAATGTTTTTAAAAACTGGAAAAACTGTTCTTAGCTTTCAGCTGCAAAAACCCAACAAAATATAACATCAAAGCAATCTTAACATGAGGTGCAACATAACCCTTCAGCAAAGCTGTTAAACAGCTACTGAAGCATCATGGGAAATAGCACTTCATTTATTCAAATGCACATATGTCAGGTTTTTGCACCATATGTCATTCCAAGCTATTTACAGTAATAATTAAATCTTAATCAACGTTTAACCTCTGTAAAATGTTTGAAGGGATCTAATCACCCTTCAGACTGCACTAATGAAGGAGAAATATATAAACATAAAAAGAAAATGATGCATAGATAGCACACCAGAAAGAACAGTAATTGCAAAATTGTATTTCTTTTAAATATAATCAGCAAATTATGTAAAGTAAGCCAACGAGTATTTTAAGTGAAGACATCTTGGGTGTCAGAGGTGTGATCAGCTAATTTTGTACTGCTATCCATAACAGATGTAGCATATTTTCTTTTCGTGCCATTATTAGCAACTTCACCATTTCTTTCTGTGCCGAAACACAAAGTGAAGCATTGTGATGGGAGAGCACCCAGCAAAGGTAGAGGAGAGGCAATTCTCACGTCCAACAGCACTGACAGGATCCATTTTGAGGGAGGATTAACTCTGATCTGCCTGGCTCTGACACAGCTTTTCTTCCCATTGTTTTCTTTTCCTTCTTCCAAACGCAGAGGGGAAAAGCTCCTAGGCACTGAAGTTGGGTGTTTTCACCCACCAGTATGAAAACATTGTGGTGAGAGGAGCTTATCGATGACTTGGGGTTGGGTAGACCAACCCTGACCAGTTGGGTGGCCCAACCCTGACCAGGTGGATGGCAGTTGGCAGGGCTTAGGGGCATGAGATGGCTCAGAACAGCAAAACCCAAACTCTGGTTGGGATGTCTATGCAGAAAGCTAACGGAGAGCCACAGAATCACAACATGGGTCCTCTGGGTCCATGAGTGTTGGACTTGCTCTCCAAAGGAAGCCCCACCAGACCCCAGATTAGAGGTCTGGAAGCAATTTCTGCAGGGAAATGATGATGTGTTGAGTCAAGAAGAGACAAGTTGAAGGTGTAGGCACACGCAAGGAGAAAAAGTGTATTGGTCCATTCATACTGCAACGGGACGCAACTTAAAAAGCAGTGAGGAAGACTCAAGTTGGGCAGCAGAAAGAGCATCCGAGAGGGAAGGAGTGAAGTATCACCACCAGATGTTTGGGGAAGGGTTGGTGGCTCTGAGGTGGGAAAGTTTAAGCACAGATCAGATGAAGCTCAGCAAGAAAGGCTGGTTCGGAGATGAGTGTTACAGAGCTCACCTCAGCCCCTTTCTGAAGTTTAGGAAGATGTGAAATAACTTTACTGGAGAGGGACTGGTTGAAATGGAGCAGACTGCAGATCCATTTCTGTTTTGACTTTACTAAAGCAGATACAAAGACATGGAATTCCTGCTGTAGAGTCTACGCTACAAGAGCTCCAAGGGGTGCATCCCCACCAAGGAGGCAAGCACAGGAGGGACGAGTTACAAAGCACTACTGGCAGATCTGTTCATAAGAGCACTGGGAATTACTGATTCCTCACCCTGTGAAATCAAATGCAGAACAATTCATTCTTCCAATCCATCAGCTTCCTGCTAGAAATTGATATTTTGGTGCAGATTGCTGTTGTAGCTGCCCAGCATCCATCCTGGACCCGCTCAGCCAACCTTCCTCTGGACATCACGAGAGAGCACAGAGGCCTTTATGCCATGTTTCTTGTGCCTGAGCTTCAAAGAAGACCCTCAGCAGGATCTTTCTTGGTCACAACCATGATGGCAACTCCTCTAACAGGGAATGGCAATCATGAATGGTTCTCCAAGGAACAGGTTCTACACTAAATGAGAGGATCTGTCTCATCCTACACGGGGCAATCCTGACCTTCCAAACTGAGCACCTACATGGGAACTGTGTCCACCCACTTCCTCTCAGTGAGGAAGATCTACTTGTGCTGGGTCAAAGGGTGCAAAGGACCAGCACCAAGATCCCTAAAAGAAGTGGGTCTTCAACAATGATACCAGAAGAGCAAGAGGGATCCAAGCTCACAACCAGTATATGGGGAAACGTGGTGTATGAAGATCATTGCTGGAGAATGATGAGAAGGGGCTGGTTTGTGGGGGAAAAAAAAAAGGTTTTGAGGCTGATGCAGCCATCAGTGCAGCACTGACCACTTGTTATCCTGGCATACCAGCATAGGGGATGATATAATGTTAGAATCACAGTATCATTAAGGTTGGAAAAGAGCTCTAAGAATCCCCAAGCACAGCCCCACTCCACCATGCCCACTGACCACATCCCTCAGTGCCACATCTCCATAGTTCTGGAATACCTTCAGGGATGGTGACTTCACCACCTCCCTATGCAGTCTGTGCCAGTGCCTGACCACTCTTCCAGAGAAAAAAATTTCCTAATATCCAACCTGAACGTCCCCTGGTACAACTTAAAGCCATTACCTCTCATCGTATCACTAGTTAACTGGGAAAAGAGGTCAACTCTCCCCCTGCTACAGCTTCCTTGCAGGTCACTGTAGGGAGCAGTAAGGTCTCCCCTGAGCCTCCTCTTCTCCTGACTTGACAATCCCAGCTCCTTCAGCTTCTCCTCATGAGGAAGGGGCAATTGCTGCATTTCCCAAGAGCATACTGAATGCTCTGCTATAGAGGCAAGAACATCCTCGCTGGAGACATGGCCAAAATGGATCTCCAAACACAACCAGAAAAGAGGCACTGGCAGAGCATCCCAACACCTGAGAGTCGGAGGATGCCCTTCGCTTCCCAAAGCAAGAAAGCAAAAACGAAACAAAAAATGGTGATCTGACTTAATCAACAGTTTATAGCCCAGAATCCCCCAGGTAACACAGGCTGACCTGGTGAAATCTACCCCTGCTGGGAGAGCAAAGCCATAGGAGTGCACCGCGAGAGGTGATTCCCACCAGGCACGAGCTCTCTTCCCCCCATCCCTGCCTTGCAGTGGGAGCCTCCCTCTTCTCATCAGCACAGACAAGGCTAATTGGGGTGATAAAGAACTGGCTCCGAGTGCTGGCGTGGGCTGGAGGAACAAATGGTGCGGTGGTCACAGCTGGTGCTGCGGAGATGGGAGGGAGCGGGCGCAAGGCTCCGGCGGTTCCGCCAGCCCGGGGCTGTGAGCAGGGCTGTGTGTGTTTTGCATTTGCTGCTGACACGGGTGTAACGTACATGCGCGTCCGGTGAGGCAGAAGCAGGCAGAAAGCAGATGCTTTTTGTTTGGGGTTGATACTCATTTCTATCCCAGCTCGGGAAAAGGTGTAGAAAGGAATGTGCTCCTCCGAGTGCAGGGAGAGAGATAGGTCTAGGCTCGCTGCCAGGGATCCTGCGACGATATGGAAGGCAGCTAGGGGAGACAGGAGCAGATGGATTTGGCATACAGCTCATCGCTCAGCCAAAAAGAGGAGGGGGGGGGAAGAAGAAGGAAGAAAGCAGCCAGTTTTGGTAGGGGGAGGGCCAGGCAGCCTGGCGGATGCTGCATCTGGAGGAGGGGGAAGGCACGACGGGGCTGGTC